CAGCTTCTTGTTTAAGTGAAAATAAATGGAAGGTTGTCTTTTTGCGCTAGTAATGTTGTGGAGTTGTATTTTGTCTCGCATCAATTATATCGTCAGTTATATCGTTATCGCAAATTTTCAAATATATATCGTGATAAATATTTTTGGCCATATCGCCCTGCTATATTCAGCACCTCTCACCACAACATTTACAAAAACACCTATGGCAAAATTAGAAAAAGATACAACAGGAACTATACTAATGGTCCCATTGGTTCCGGTAGCATGCTACCAGAATCAACAAGTTTTACAAGAGCAGATTCACTGCTTTTACCCGGTCTGGTATAACCAACACAGTGATGCGTTCACTGACCTCTGGTACATAGTTGTCTCTCCTCTCTCTCTCTTCCTCCTGCAGTTTGATGGAGATTCCTCTGACTGGACCCCTCTGAATCCTCTTCATCAGATGTGTTACATACCTACAAGTGGAGCAACGCACACAAAGTTGTCATCACATGGAACTGCCATGATAATACCATAGAAATTTGTACATATTATAGAAATGTCATGTAGGGACATGGTTACTATAGCAACACCATATGTTAAGATTCCCAAATGCATCGAGACAAGCCTGGGCTTGTCTGAGACCAAGAGCCAGGTGCCAAGGCACCAGTATACCCTCCATACTGGTTGCTTTGCTACCGCAACATCAGTACAGTCACTTCTATTTGTGCCATATAAGCACTGATATAGAAAGAGAAGAAATCAAAACCAGAAGCAAAGACACTGCCCAGTGTTTTTTTCCCCTCTCACAAACTCGGGTTTTCAAACTGTGCAACATCTCCCTCATATATCTGTGAATCTCTACGCTTCTGTAGTGAATACCATTAAAATGGCGGTAAAAACGGACATGATCATATCCTGGTGTCTTCAATCCGGCTGCAGCAGCCATGGTGCAACACGCCAGGCTACAAAAATAGATAACTGTAGGTGGTGTACGACACAAAAACAGCAGCCCACACCAACAGTTATGACCTTTTTTTTTTTTTTGCACGTGGTGAGCATACAAACATCACCAGTCTCTGATGATGTATTTTCATGAAATAACACTATAATTTTGAGGCTTTTTAACCCACCTCTAATCTAAAAACACTGATGGTTTTGGAGTGTGTTTTGGTACAAAAGTGACTTAAAAAAATGATGAAATAAATGCTAACTCTGCTGCGAACTCAGATTCCACACCACAGGCCTTCCATCAATATCTGCCTACTTAACAGAAAAATGTATTTATTTAATTAATGTCTACCATCCCAGGAATTGTTTGCATGTCTTAGAGCATCAGGGTCTGATAGGAATTGGCAGTCCTTCAAACACGGGAAAGGCTCAAAGGTTTATCTTCCTGTAATTTTTAATGACCAGGCAACATAGACGCCATGATCACCTTTCGATACAGGGTGGCAGAAAAGCAAGACAAATTTGTGGTTGTGGGCTCCACTTTGCAATAGACAACTCACCCAGCGATCTTGTTGCGGAGCTTCTTGCTGGGGATGATGGCTATTTCTTCGCACACCCTCTTGTTGGTGTGGAAGTCATTTCCCAGCCGGGTGTAGTATTTTTCGATGATGACCCTGGCAGCCTTTTTCACCGTCTTGGTCCTGACTCGTCCCTGCATGAAGAGAACACATGTTTACTCGTTACTCCTAGCATTTGGGTAAACTATCGGAACAGTCATTCTGGCACCATTTCTTTAAAAAACATCCGTTTGCCACCATGAGTGGAATCTAAATCCTATTTTAGGCCTGGCCAATCTGCAGGCAACTCCCTACCTGCAGGCTGACCAGGTCAAAGCTGTGGCAGTCCTTGATGTTATATGGCTGATTTTGCACACAACCTCCATTTCCATCATCTTGGACTGTACCAGGCAATGCTAGTCCTTGTTCTGCTCTGCAACGTCAGTGAGCTCAGTGTAGAAGCACATTAAGCAGTTTTCCTCCTGCTGCAGGTTCTGGCTGGAGCGGTCCTCCTGATCACAGTGGGTCTCCTGCACAGCAGAACAAGGACTAAAGGCATCAGCTGCTGCCCAAAATGGTAGAGTTGGAGTCCATCTGACTGGAAGATTACACTAAATGAACAAGCGGCTAAATGAATTCCTGGACGAATACACCGAAGACATAAAGAACCAATTTTACAAATAGGATGAAGAGGCCGAGGTAAACGTACCAACATCCCAAAGTAGTATTGAATTGAATAAGGTTTGTGAATTATTATTATTGATAGCACCATCTATATTTGTTTCTTAAAGCCTTATGTGAGCCTGTGCTAATTTTGTTAGTTTTATCTTGTTAATGTTTAATATTATACATTTTTGCCTCTGGGTTGCTCTAACTTCCTTGGAATAAAGTTTACCCTTAAACTTGTGTGTCAGACGTTGTTTTTGGATTAATGTGGTGAAGTATCTTCAGTATTCTGAAATCACTTGACCGAAGCACTGTGCGGCTGAAGACAAGCTCCCAACTAGATCAGGGACTGCAGCCTCCAGAGCAGCATTAGCTTCCTCAACGACACACAAGCTAACACCTGAGTTGGCCATCAAGCTAAGGTGAGCTATACTCTTCGCCAATTTAACCATTTTAACGGTTCGTGAACAAACAAATACCGCCTAGGTTGTTCTGTCAGTCCTCTCGACATTAACCGATAAAAACCCGAACAAGCACCGCGGCTCATTCAGCCGGTCGCTCCGTCAGCAGCAGCGTTACAGAAGCGCCGATAAAAAGTCGCGTTCGTATCATCTAACGTCAATACAGCGGCCACAAGGAAAGATTATTGATCTGCTGCTTATTGGTAAGGTTAAACGGAATACAAAACATTTTAAACGACAGGATTAGAACAGATAGTGTAGGTAGTCATATAAAAAACACCCACCATGTTGGATCGGCCCTGGTAAAAGAGAACAAGCACACTTCCGGTGGAAGCTTGAATCCTCGGGCGGAAGTTGATAACAGAAACGTTCTGTCCCTGCAGCGACCCCTCCGACCGTAAGCTAAACAACAACCTCCAACATGCACGTCTCTACAACAGACAAAAAACGCTTTCTTAAAATTTTGTGTTGTTTACCAGCTTTTCTCCTCACTGCCCTGCCATGCTGTTTGTAAGTCAGAAATTTTCAGCGTGTGATCTTGAAGATGTTTCCATATATGAAAGAGAAATATGCATCTACAGGCGAAACAGAAAGTAATAGAAGAGAAAATGAGGAGACCTCAACTGTTTCTTTGACCCTTGGTTTGATAAACTTACTACGTTAATGAAAGTGGTAAAATGGTGGGAAAAATCACAAGACCACAAGGCCAAAGCTCAAGAGGAAAACAACGTTTGATTGTGTATTGCTGGTTAAGGTTATGTATGGAGGAAAGCAAATAAAGTGTGTCTTGCGATATATGCCAAATAATGAACCTGACCTAACAATACAAACAAAGAAATACTGATAACATGACATATCAGATGGTATATAGCCTATGTTCCACAGAGGTGAATACAGGTTAACTTGTTCTATGATGTGCCACCACTTTGACAGATAATGATGGATACAATTGAAAAAATGGCAAAAATCAAAAACATTGATTAATCGGGGAATACTGTTTTCATGAAGTGGTGTATATATATGGTCTGCAAAAGTGCTTAGGTCAAAGTAACATCTTTGTGGATGGCACGACCCAAAGTTGCCCAACAGAACATTGCCCAAAACATGCCTCTGCCAACTTGCCTGCATAGGGAATGCCTAGGGAACACCTGGCACCAGGATGCAGGTGCTCCCTAGGTAAGAGAAAATGTAGCTTACACCAGTTGAGGTATGTAACATGTGACATTATTGTGATAATAAAATAATACCGTTATTGATCCCAAGGGTAAATTTGTGTCTGACATGGCCCATCTGCTATTTGTATGAAAATTAAAAAGCCTAATCGCTGTGGGAGCAAATGTTTTTCTGTATTGCTCTGTTGTACAACAGACAGAGAGGAGTCTTCTATTACTCATCTTCCATGAAAATGTTGTACAGTGGGTGATCAGAGTTATTCACATCCCCAGCATGTACAGTCTGGCTCCAGCGCCAGCTTTCTTCACTAGTTTGTCTAATCTCTTTGCATCCTTGTATCTGATGCTGCACTGCAGCATAGAACGGAACACTTGCCACCATAGACTGATAGAACACCTGCAGCAGCTTACTGCAGATGTCAAGAGATCTTAGTTACCTCAACAAAAATAGGCAATTTTGCCCCTTTTTTATAGTTCATCTTTATTCGGGGACTAGTCTCCTTGACCAATGTCTCAATTTCATTTGCAGATGACACCTAAATGGCACAATAAAGGTTTAGTCTGCTAGGTGGGTGTTATTTTTAAATAAAAGGTCACAAAGTTTCATGTATGATGGTATAAAACAATCTCAAGAGATAAGATAAGATAAGATAAGATAAGATAAGATAAGATAAGATAAGATAAGATTGTTGGACAACTCATGAAACATCTGCTCACATCTGGCTGAATTCAGTTGTGTAAATCCAAAAAGTGCAGTAAACCTCAAACCAGCAGCAGCACAGGTCAGCTGATCACAGCTTGTACACTAAGAAAATCTACTGGAGTGCTCAGTAGAAATTATTGTGAGTTGTGATTATTTTCCCCACACTGAGTCGCTCCATGTGATTTTTGGGTTCCCCCAAACGCTGAGTCCCACTTTTAAAGTCTTCCCCACTCATTTTCCTCACATCACCCTCTCCATTAATATAACAATAAGGTTTTGTTAGTGTTGCATGAAAGCGTTGCACCTGGGCTTTGCCCTCACCTCAGAAAATCTGGAAAGAGAAATGAGTGATATGTGTCTTTGTGCCTCTGATAGTGTATTATGATGTGTATTTCAGGTTAGCACACTTTTAGAGAAGCCCATAAAGAGCCTGGGACGGTGCTACAATGCAGAACTCAATGATACGTGACAACTAGAACAACCAAGGCAGAATTTGGCTAATGACCTCAAGCGGATTAACAACACTGCACTCCTAGGGAAACTGAAGTGCTGGTGCTTCCAGTTTGGGTTATTACCCAGACTACAGTGGCCGTTGACCATGTATGAGGTCTCACTCAATCATCCCAATCGACTAGAGAGGCTAGTGAGCTCCTACGTTAAGAAGTGGCTTGGACTTCCCAAATGATTCAGCAGCGTTGGACTCTATAGCGACGGGATACTGTCATTGCCTATCCCTAGTCTGGTGGAGGAGTTTAAATGTGCAAATGTGAAGCTTAAGATGTCACTCACGGACTCCCAAGACCCCATAGTGAGAGGGACTGCTCCCACCCAAGCAACGGGGAGGAAGTGGACCCCAGCCACATCTGTGCTACAGGCCAAATCTGCTCTTCGACATCGTGACGTGGTGGGTCCCGTCCAACAGGGTAGAGGAGGATTTGGTCTTGGAGCAGTAACACCTCGGTGGCAACAGGCATCTGTAACCGAACGTCGAAAAATGGTGGTGGAGGAGGTGCGTCGACAGTAGTAAACAGCCAGACATGTCCAAAGCCGTAGTGCTGGCAAGGCAGGGTCGCTGGATGAATTGGGAGAAGCTCTCATGGAATGAAATCTGGAGGATGGAGTCTAATAGACTGTTTTGTAATCCGAGCGACATACGATGTGCTACCTTCCCCAATAAATCCACAGCTGTGGTTTGGAAAGGACCCATCCTGCCCCCTGAGGGCGTCTAGTGATAATGGCTGAGACACCCGATGAATCTAAGGTCCACCACTGACAATGTGTCCCAAATCTTAATATCTAATCTAGATCAGATCTCTAATCCCCCAAAAATGGCAGATTAGGTTGGGTAAAAGTTTCTGGGCTGCCTTTCCTCATAACAGCCATCCCTCAAGATTCTCTCCATTTAAAGCAATGCAATTTCAGGGACTATAACATCTAGTCCTTTTACTGAATCAGGTTAGCACACTGTGAAATCACACAAAAAACTACCTCTGTAAGCTAAATGCATAAGGCCTTTTATGGACATGGTTACTTATTTTTGTGTAGCTTGCCACCAGTAAAAAGGCAGGAGTTATGAACATGTTATGAACTGTGTTATGAATTAATTTTTATTAATTTTTAAAGCTTTGTATTGTACCAATAATATGATTGTGGATATTTATTTTGAATGCTGGACCCCTGAATCCTTGGACCACGTGTTGTAAGTTGATATTTTTGTTGATACTGTGCTAAAACCAATGTTAAAAAGGTTAATCATAGAAAAGGAATGATTAAGGGTTTAAAATGCGGTTCATTTGATTAGTTTTATAGTTTATTTAGTGTCCTAAACTTATAAACCTTTGCTTGATTGACATATTGAATATTCACCGGTCTGAAAACTTCCAGTGAAAGACTGATTTTTGCTGTTAAGTGAGCTAACTGGGATTTCTAATTGGTTGAATTATACTGTGTGATTGAGACCATAAGAGTAAGAGGTTCAATATTGCTTCAATGTTTATTTGGTTTATACCATTTGAAACTGAGTATGTTTAATATCTAATGCCAGTGGTCCGTCGTCGCAGCCCACAAATCAGTAGCATACATTGCGTTGAGTCGCATGTGCGCGCATGCGCGTTTTAGAATAATTCCACTATGTCAATAGGAGCCGTCAGTTCACAGACGACAAACGGTAAGTAAATTATCTTTCTTTTTACTTAAGCAAAGTTTTCTGTTTAGTGATATACGGTTAGGGTGACTGCTGGTCTCACGGCTAATGGCTGTCTAACAGATATAGCTGTCAGTTTGTGCTTTGCGTAAGCCGACCTGACAATGTTTGTTTAACTCCGGCATACAACAAAAGGATAGACATTTATACAAATTTGAACAAGGGAAGATTTGCACATTTATTTTGTGTTTGTTATTTGTAATAACAGAGAAAATCTGGCAAGATAAATGAGTTCGTGTCTTCATTTTTCTGACAATTTCACCTGAACATTTCAGGGATTCGTATATGTGGCATACATATTTGGCAATACTGTTTGTTAAGAATTACACAATTCATATTTTGATTATTTTAAAAAAATCAAATTATAGTTTGTTTCATTTAATAAAGATTTATGCTGGTAGATGCTGCCGATGTCATTTTGTTTGCACTTCATTTCCCATGCGGCATTCTTCTCTCACGTGACTTGTCACAGTCACATGTCAACATGGCTGCCACTGTATGCAACGAAGATTTCACCAACTTACAGCTTCTTCTGAAGGTATGTCAAACATTAACATTTTGTAAAACAGTCGGCTTTCAGAGAGTCTGTTAGTCTGCTAGCTCTTTGTATTTCTCATTCTGTAGACATAAAGACACGATTTTTATCTAAATACTGCAATTTTGTATACAAACTTCAGTGAAGTGGAACTGACCTTAAAAACCTCCAGTGACAGTAAATTGAACCGCAGTAGCAGATTCAAGGACATCTTAGGGCTTCACGTACCAACTGCATGTTCAGATCTGAGAAATTGTTACACGTTAGTTTTAAGTCACTGAGAGTGGATTGTTTTTTCTCTGGAGGCTCCTTCTAAAGATGCAGTGAGAGAGGTTTGTGTGCAGAGTCAAAGAGGTCTGAGTCAGCGGCTAACTGAGAGCACTGCAGCAACACTCGGCATTTCGGAAGCCCAGGCTGCACAGGTAACACAAAAACATCAGTGTGTGTTGGTCCTTGCAGTGTGTGTGGACATACAGTAGTTTACTGACCCATGCTGCAAGCACTTGGCTGTGTTTTGGGGGATATAAAGAAAGTTCCACTAAGTTCAGTCGTTGTATTTTAACTTGAGGACTTGGTTGAAATCGATTAATATAATTTTTTTCCTACCAATTCGCAACTTTAAATGACTGTTCTACATGCACTCACTAGTTTTATTATTATGATATGTGTCAACACTAAAAAACAAACAAAACAAAAAAACCCTCCATATCAAAACTGAAAATATTGTACATTTATGATTATACAAAAAGACCCTTTTCAGGGAAATGGGTCAACAATGTAAAGCTGTTCTGCAG